CGATGGATCAGTCCATTCAAAGGACACAGTCCTCACAATCTAATCACCTCAGAACGGCCCCACCCTTCAAATACCATAATTGTATTTCTCACCCTCTTAGCACTGTTACAAAGATGGTCAAGTTTCCAATACATGACCTTTTGGGGGGACACATTTAACCCATAGCATAAGTAGTATGTTTGGGATGACCCCTTCATTTAGGTACCTTTTACAGTTTGCAAGCAGTATGTTTCTCTACTTGATCTCACTGTGATTTTCCTTTCTTGGCTATTTTATTTTCATGAGTGTTTTAGGCATCAGTCTCCTAAATGCACTTACTTTTCTTCTACTACTGGCCATAATTTCCAATTTTTAGGGCAATTTGTGACTCTTCTTGGCTAATATTGGGAAAGTTCCTAGGTGGCTTTATCCTGCACACCTAGTCATTCTCTAGCTGTTTTGTTTGAAAAATTTTTTTGTGTGTGCATTTGTGTGTACAGGGGATATTCCTGCCCTTGTGGCATTTGTACTCAGTGCCTCATTCTCTGGTGGGAGAATAGTGTGGAGAGATTATGACCACCCAGCACATACTGTATCCACAGGGCATGTCCCCCCTGTGAAGGGCTTTTCAGATGGTTTCCTTGGGAACCAGACTTACTAATTCTCCCCCAATCCTGCTTACCAGTAACTGAAAAAAGCACATAATTGCTCAGCGGAGTCACTAATACATCTTTATGAACTTGCATATGCTCTTAACTCTTTAGAACTGACTTCTTAAAGAGACTAAGCTTCTTTTCCAAAATCATTAGAAAGTGCATTTCAGAAAAATCAATTTTAAGTCCAGAACAACTTTAAGGTTCAATTAGCCACCTCCCCTTTTTCACAGTTGAGGCCACTGAGGCCCAAACAAATGACATATGAAGTTGACATGAGTTGTTATGTAGAAGTGGGACCATGCCCAGTGCTTCCTGCTCCTGAACCTGGGCTCTTTCCACTGTACCAAGAGCCACCTTCATTTTGAGCACCACCGCCTGGCTAGCAAATGTGCTGTGTGAGGACAGGGACGATTTAACATTGATGTTTGTGCCCCTGTCCCTGGTACAGCGCTAGCCAACAGCATGTACTCTATGTGTTTACTGACACCTGATCTAAATTTATGTTGAAGACTATGTTCATCATATGCAGATGCTTCCCCAAAGAGAGAACATTTGTAAGTGGATTTATGAGAGTGAGCAGCCTCAGACAGCAAAAGTGCAGAAAGTGGAAGCTCTAAACATGGTGATGTTGTTTTATTCCTGTGCTTTACTGTCAGATCATATTCCAAGGCTTATTTGCTCATCTTTGCTTGTGCTTTACTGATGAATACTGTTTTAAGTCTGTTGCTTATAACAGAATACCTAAAACTGGGTAATTTATAAAGAAATAGAATTTATTTCTTATTGTCTGGAGGCTGGGAAGTCCAAGGTCCAGAAAACACATCTGGTGAGGGCCTTGTGTGTGTGTGGCTGGCCAGTGCAGGGATCCCAACCTTTCCCCTTGGTGTTACCAACACCATGCTGAGGGCCTTCTTGGCAGAAACTCTACAAGTCCCGTGGTGACACAGGGTATCACATGATGAGACTGGGCTGAGCAAGAGAGAGCTAATCTTCTCACTTGCTTTCCTTCTAAAGCCATCAGAATCACGTCCATTACTCCAGGAATTGATCAAACCATTCACAGGGCACAGTCCTTACAATCTAATCACCTCTTAAAGGCCCCACCTTTCAAATACCATAATTAGATTTCCCACCCTCAGCACTGTTACTATGGAGATCAAGTGTTCCATACATGACCCTTTGAGGAACACATTTAACCCATAGCACATACCTACATCCTTTGGTGGCAAAACAACATATAGAATAGAGAATATTAAGTATATATGAGCATTTTTAAATAATGTATGTGAAGTATGTAATAAAATGCCCCAAACTCACATCATTCACCTTGGGGATAGGTGGGTGTTGAGTGTATGGTTTGTTGCTAATTCCATAATTTTTATATAAAACTCCTTGGTCCTAAAGGAGTTTTAAATAGTTTAGAAAATTGAACTCTCTGTTCACTCTTTCATCTTGAGTAAATAAATCCCAGCGTTGCCTCTATTTCATATTAGCCCTGCATTCATGTAGCACTTTCTTCCGTCACATTTTTAGCCGTGTCCTCAGGCCTTTTCATTGCTGTCTTGGCTGCTGGTAAGATAGCTAAAATTTGAAATGGCTGCCTGAACAGATAGAACCAATTTCAATTTATTTTGACTTTCTTATTTTTCATCCCCAAAGGAATGCCATTGCCCTTGTGGCAGAGAACTTTGATTCATTAACACATTTCCTAGAAAATTTCCATTTCCTTTTCTGTGGTCCTGCTTGTTTGTCCTTTGTAATTTGCTTTTACTTGTTCTGGATTGTATCCCATTTGCTGCTCACCATACTCCCTCAACCAATCGCTCAGCCCCACCCAAGCGCTTGCAATTCTCTGTATCATTTTTAGCCTCACAAAGACTTTGTCCAGGAGTATGTCGTTATTTTATCTTCGCACAAAAGACAGCTTCCCTAAGTAACAGTGAGATATATGTATATATCTGTGCATTATACTGAAGTCACCTCTTTGTGCTGACTGAAGTTTTCCCCCAAAATCAATCTGGACTCTCCATTCCAGGGAGCAGAATCTTGAGTTGCATTATGGCTTTTCGTTTACTATGTTTGGTTACTCTGTGTTAGCATATTGAATAAAACTGCCTCTTCTGTTTTTAAGAATGCTACATTATTGGAGAATTTAGAAATGTGTTTACCTCTAAGAAATGCACATCAGCTCTGCATTATGCTGGTCAAATCTAACCACTGTAATGAGCATGGTCATGGGGCAAAGAAGGGGACTGCATTAGTTTCTTGCTGCTGCTATAACAAATTACCCCAAATTTAGTGGCTTAAAACAATTCGAGTTTATTCTCTTACAATACTAGGGTCAGAAGTCTGAAATCAGTCTCACTGGATGAAAATGAAGGTATCAGCCAGTCCGGTTCCTTCTGGAGGCTCTGCGGGGAGAATCCATTTCCTTCTGCCTTCACCTCTCTTACTACTCACTCTGATCTCCTCCTTCTTATGAGGACCCTGGCAATTACATTAGGCCCACCCAGATAATCCAGGATAATTTCCCCTCTCAAGATCCCTAACTTAATCACATCTGCAGAGTCCCTTTTTCCATACAAAGTAACCTATCCTCTCATTCTGGGGATGAGGAACTGGTCATCTTTGGGAGCCATTATTCAGCTGACCATGGGACCATGACCTCTCTCCAGTGGCAGTTTTCTCTGGCCTCTCCTCTTAAGTCAGACTGGCTTGATGGGGAGAGGAGATATTTGTGGGTGGGCCTACCAGTGCTCTGTGAAGACCCTGTGCCCAGCTCCCTGCCTGCAGCACCCAGCAGTGGCAGCCAGGTCTCAGCTTCCTCCACACGGCAGTCAAGTGTGTCACAGTGCTACCTGAAGGCCATGCCACTGTACTCAAGATGTTTGCCAACCATCCTTCCTCACCCTGCCTTCTCTCCTTTTCAGCGTTGTGTTAAGTGTCAGGGGGCCACTGTGTCAGCAAGCTGACAGGGAAACTGAGGCAAGATGTCGGGCCGGAGCGGGAAGAAGAAAATGTCCAAGCTGTCCCGTTCAGCCAGGGCCGGTGTGATCTTCCCAGTGGGGAGGCTGATGCGGTACCTAAAGAAAGGGACGTTCAAGTACCGGATCAGCGTGGGCGCTCCCGTCTACATGGCGGCAGTCATCGAGTACCTGGCAGGTAAGGCAAACACACAGAGGAGATCACCCACCCTCAAACCCCTCTCACAGGCTGGGGAGGGAGGCTCTGAATCACCTGGTGGCTGGCTCCAGGCTCCTGCGAGTGGTGACAGGGTTTCAACTGGCCTGCTTGGCTCAGATCAATTTCTACAGGCTTTAGGGGAAAGGAGAGAGCATAGGAAGGACCGATGACCAGCATGGAAGGCAGAGAACTCACAACGAAGTCACTGTTTAGACGAGCCTGGGAAAAGGTGTGTCCTGCCTTAAGCAAATGCAATATGTAAATATCTAGTCTCCCAAAGAGGAGAAACTGCAGGGAGGACACGGGAGTTGCTATTCATTTTGTAAAAGGGGGTCTTCACTTTACACCAAATTCCTCATTAAACATCAGTTTCTCTGGTGTATTTAAACTAGGACTCAACGTCCATAAATAACATTTATCTGAACATCAGGAGCACCTTCAGGTGCTTTCATGATGCTGATGCAATGTCCTAATTTTGCTCTCCTTTACTGAGGAGGTTCTCTATCTACTAAACATGCATAGTAAATAGTTTCCCATATTTGTTGTTAAAATTGCTTTTTACTAAAAGATGAAATTTTTGATGTGTGTGTTCTTTATATATTTGAGTAACATTCCGTTTAGCTTGTTTGTTGTTGTTCTCTTATGGCATAGTTAAACAGAAACCAAACTTCACAATATTAGGGATGCTTTTTTAAAACTATGTAAAACACATTGTGTAATGTTCAATATACTTATTATCCTGATTTGAGCATCACATATTGCACACAGGTTTTGATATTCAACGTGGTACCTCACAGATAGGTAGGATAAGTTATGTTTCAATAAAATAAATAAATAATATGTAAAATAATATATAAATGAAATTTATAAAAAGAAAAAAGTATGTAAATAAGTGTGATTAGTTCCATGTAAGGTCATTTTAGCCATAAGCAACAATGTCTGTAACATTGCCCAATGTTAATAAATTCCCCAGACACCAAAGTTAAGTCCCTTGGGAAGTCCACCGGGTTAAAAGGCAAACCGCCCCAAACTGTCTGTTTCAAGCTCCCAGCATCTGTAGCATGAAAACTTCCGTGCATGTGGCAGGGCTGGTCTCAGCTTCTGTTCCCAGGTTCCTCTTCCCTCCAGTTTCTCCCTAAAAAGCAATCCCTCCCCTTTCTTCAGATGCTCAGTCCTGTTCTGCCTAGTTAGTCCCCATCACTCACCAATCAACATCTACTGATAAAACATTCTCCCCCTGGAACTTCATCAGGCAGACCTTGGCATCTCGAGCCCTTCTCTTACTGTGAAATGAAAAGCTTTTTCATAGGCTAAAAGCCTTTCCGTATCCTTTAACAGGTTGGAAAGAGGGCTGGAGGGCTCTGAAACCCAGTCCACTCAAGTGATGGAGAACAGTGCAGTTCAAAATGGGGATCACTCCCAGATTTTGTGGACAATGTCTGGGACCTAAGACTGTGCATTCCTAATGTGCTGTCAGGTGATGCTGACACTGCTGGTCCAGGGACCACACTTTGAGTAGCAAGATTGTAGCCAGTCTTTTAGCCACAAGCCTAAAGATTTGGGAAATGCTTGTTTAGAAAGCAGGTTCATGGCTGTACCCCTAGGAGGTCTATAAACTGGGCTTGGAGGAGGACCCAGNGAGCCTGGGAAAAGGTGTGTCCTGCCTTAAGCAAATGCAATATGTAAATATCTAGTCTCCCAAAGAGGAGAAACTGCAGGGAGGACACGGGAGTTGCTATTCATTTTGTAAAAGGGGGTCTTCACTTTACACCAAATTCCTCATTAAACATCAGTTTCTCTGGTGTATTTAAACTAGGACTCAACGTCCATAAATAACATTTATCTGAACATCACGAGCACCTTCAGGTGCTTTCATGATGCTGATGCAATGTCCTAATTTTGCTCTCCTTTACTGAGGAGGTTCTCTATCTACTAAACATGCATAGTAAATAGTTTCCCATATTTGTTGTTAAAATTGCTTTTTACTAAAAGATGAAATTTTTGATGTGTGTGTTCTTTATATATTTGAGTAACATTCCGTTTAGCTTGTTTGTTGTTGTTCTCTTATGGCATAGTTAAACAGAAACCAAACTTCACAATATTAGGGATGCTTTTTTAAAACTATGTAAAACACATTGTGTAATGTTCAATATACTTATTATCCTGATTTGAGCATCACATATTGCACACAGGTTTTGATATTCAACGTGGTACCTCACAGATAGGTAGGATAAGTTATGTTTCAATAAAATAAATAAATAATATGTAAAATAATATATAAATGAAATTTATAAAAAGAAAAAAGTATGTAAATAAGTGTGATTAGTTCCATGTAAGGTCATTTTAGCCATAAGCAACAATGTCTGTAACATTGCCCAATGTTAATAAATTCCCCAGACACCAAAGTTAAGTCCCTTGGGAAGTCCACCGGGTTAAAAGGCAAACCGCCCCAAACTGTCTGTTTCAAGCTCCCAGCATCTGTAGCATGAAAACTTCCGTGCATGTGGCAGGGCTGGTCTCAGCTTCTGTTCCCAGGTTCCTCTTCCCTCCAGTTTCTCCCTAAAAAGCAATCCCTCCCCTTTCTTCAGATGCTCAGTCCTGTTCTGCCTAGTTAGTCCCCATCACTCACCAATCAACATCTACTGATAAAACATTCTCCCCCTGGAACTTCATCAGGCAGACCTTGGCATCTCGAGCCCTTCTCTTACTGTGAAATGAAAAGCTTTTTCATAGGCTAAAAGCCTTTCCGTATCCTTTAACAGGTTGGAAAGAGGGCTGGAGGGCTCTGAAACCCAGTCCACTCAAGTGATGGAGAACAGTGCAGTTCAAAATGGGGATCACTCCCAGATTTTGTGGACAATGTCTGGGACCTAAGACTGTGCATTCCTAATGTGCTGTCAGGTGATGCTGACGCTGCTGGTCCAGGGACCACACTTTGAGTAGCAAGATTGTAGCCAGTCTTTTAGCCACAAGCCTAAAGATTTGGGAAATGCTTGTTTATTGTGGACAATGTCTGGGACCTAAGACTGTGCATTCCTAATGTGCTGTCAGGTGATGCTGACACTGCTGGTCCAGGGACCACACTTTGAGTAGCAAGATTGTAGCCAGTCTTTTAGCCACAAGCCTAAAGATTTGGGAAATGCTTGTTTCGAAAGCAGGTTCATGGCTGTACCCCTAGGAGGTCTATAAACTGGGCTTGGAGGAGGACCCAGGAATCTGATGGGAAAATCTCCCAGCTCAGGGAAGTAGAGGAGGGACTCTGAGAAAAGTATATGAAGATTTAAAACAACATATTAGGTCTGTATCACTAAGACTTCCACTGAGACTGGAAGACATTGAAAGATCCCATAGCTCCCAAGTGGGGAGTTGAGATTCCCTGAGGGTCTTTGACCCCACACTGTGTACTTTTTGCTACACTGCACTGCCCTAAGGTTTGTATAATGAAAATAATAGTACTTCCTGTGTCTCCATTTGGCAAAAGTCTGAACTTTGGTGCATATATAAAATTTGACCTTTTGAATCACCGGTGTCTCTATTCACATATGTTAGAAGAAAACAGCTTATGTTTTCCTATTCACTCATTCATTCAACAAAGATTTGTTGAGCAGCTACATGTCAGTGCACCCAATAAGTCCTTAGACAGTGAGTCCTCGTAATAGAATTGGGCCAGACGGATGGGTTATAGGATGGGTTGGACATGAAAGGAGAGAGACGAGAGCGTGAGCACATAGAAGGAGGCCCTTGCCAATAACACTCCTTCCCCCGGTGCCAGTCCCAACATCTAGCACGTGCCTGGGCCACGTGGAGGAGAAGATGCAGGCCTGTCCTCTCTGTGCTCTTTCTTTCCCTTCTTTGTGCTTTCTCCCCTCCAAACCCAGGCCATAGTTGAGAGGGTCCAGGCTTAGGGGTCAGTTCAAATCCGGATTAATCAGTTTACCAGCTCTGGTACTTTACCCTCTCTGAGCTCTCGGTGTTTCCAGAGCTAGCTCATTTCACCTAATTAAATGAGCTAAGGTATGTAAACCACCTGCTGTGTAGGATGCACTCAATGAACGGTCATTCTCCTCTGCCCTCTACTAAGAGCTGATCAGATCAGTCAGGGCAAAGTATAAATGATGAATGCCCTTAAGGTGGTATATTCTCAGGCTGAATTTGCATTTTAATGAGACAAGGAGTTTTAATCCAAAGGAATGAATCATGTTAGTGGAATTGCAGGCCACAGTTGAGTAAGTGAAATGGGGGGTGTTTGTTTTTGTTTGTTGGTTTGTTTGTTTGTTGAAGGGGCATCCACTGATTTTGTTTAAGAAAGGGGGTTCATGGTGTGGAACCCTCCTGTCACCCTTGAAATGACCTTCTACGTTCATGAACCAAATCTTGACTGCATGCCTCCTTTGGATCAGGCCTTGAAAATACAGCAGAAAACAGGCACCCTGGGTCCTGCCTTTGCTGGGCTTACAGTCGATCAGGGAGGGCAAGCGTTAAACACATCATCGTAAGATGAGGTGCATGTCGGGTGGGGAAGTTAGAGGAACTTTGGGAAGTGGGGGGAAGGGGAGGGGCTGCCTTATACAAAGTAAGGGTTGTTGAGACCTAAATCAGGTTCTCACCTCTGGTTTTTCTCAAATCGATCGATTTCAAATCCTGATGCCTGGGTCCCACCCTCAGAGGTTTAGGGATATGTTCTGGGCATTGGGATTTTAAAACCTCCCCCAAGTGATACTGATGGGCAGGCAGGGTAGGGAATTATAGGAGTTAGCTAAATTCAGATGGAGGGGGTGGGGTTGAACTCGGAGGAGATCGTCATGGAGGCAGGGAATAGGGTGAAGACCAAGATTAGAGTTAGTGTGTGACCTTTCAAGGAACTGGAGGAAGTTCAGCATGCCTGGGGCAGAGCTGGGGAAGGGAAGAGCTTGAGGGATGAGATGGGGTGGGCTGGCTCTGCAAGGCTATATTACAAAGGTCCTTGAAGGCCACGTTGA